CAACCCTCAGTGTCGCGCCCATACCGGACCGGGACTGGCAACAGGATCGCAACCCTCGGTGCTGCGCCCTGCACCTCGCTCAGCCAGTGAGCGGGAACCGGTCTGTATGTGGGATCCGAACCCTCGGCGGGAGTGCCACCACACTCCCAAGCGGTGCACTGTAGCAGTGCGCCACTGGGCCGGCCCCATGGATTTTTATTTCTGATCAAGCTAACAAGAGTAAGGAAAGGAGAAGGGAAAACAAAAAAAAGACTGACCCCCCCATGAAAAGATAAGACTCCTAGATTGGATTTTAAAAAATAAATTAAAAACATATCTAAAATTAACCCCCAAAAAGTTGGAAATAAAGAAATAGAAATATTGAGAAAATACAATCAATCAATCAAACAAACAACAAACAAAATCAGGAGTGATTACAGTACCCTCCCCCTTTATCCATGATTTCACTTTCCACAGTTTCAGTTACCCATGGTCAACTGCAGTCTGAAAATATTAAATGGAAAATTCCAGAAATAATCCATAAGTTTTAAATTACACACCATTCTGAGTAAGTAGCATTGATGAAATCTTGCACCATCCTGCTGTTTCTCACTCAGTACACGAATCATCCCTTTGTCCAGCGGCTCTATGCAGTATACACTACCTGCCCATTAGTCACTTAGTAACCGTTCTGGTTATTAGATCAACTATTGCGGTATTGTGGTGCTTGGGTTTGTTACTGTCGGTAGTTTCAGGCACCTACTGGGGGGTTTTGGAACATATCCCCCATGGAAAGAGGGACTAGTGTATATTATTACAACATTATAATAATTTCAAAACCAAGTACGTTAAATAATACTAAATAAGATAGGGAGCATGTTTAGTGAATAAAGATTCAGACCATGAAAATGATTCATAAACCTTTATGCTCCAAGCATTATGGCAAATACTCAAGCCCCTAGAAACATACAAACTTGATTAAAGCACAGTCACTGCGGATGATTTTCATATACCACTTCACTGTCTGTTGGTTTAACTAAACCAAATGCAAAAGAGGCTATAGAGAAATGGTTCTCACCAGGGGGTGACTTTTGTTTGTCACAACATAGAGGCTTCTGCTGGCATGTAGTGAGTAGAGGCCAGGGATCCTGCTAAATATCCCACAATGCAGGACAGCCTCCAGCATGAAGAATGGCCCTGCCCCAAATATCAATGGTGCCAAGGTTGAAAAACTCTGCTACAGATTTATATAATTCAAGCAAATGTGTTTTAATTCTCTATATAGAACTTTTTAGTCTATTAATATAAAATATATTTCTATCTCATGCTTAGAGTAAATTTATTTTATTTTATTATTTTTTTTTTTTCGTGTCCGGCAACGGACCGCAACGCGCAGTGTCGCGCCCATACCGGACCAGGACCAGCAACGGGATCGCAACCCTCGGTGCTGCGCCCGCCCCTCGCTCAG